GTACATTCTGTTCCTCAAAAGCATGATTTAAGAGAATGAGAAGCAGTCCACCAAGTAACAGAAGATATTTGCAATTGATTTCTCTAACAAAGAATTTGTATCCAGAATATCTCAAGAAGTTCTACAATGCAATAACGAAAGAATCCAAGAAAAAGCAGGAAGGAAGGGGCCAAAGACTTACATAGCATTTCACCGAGAAGCAATCTGAAGAGCCAATAAGTATGTGAAAAGATGCTTAATTTCTTTAGTCACCAGGGAAATGCAAATTAACAAGACAACAATATGCTACTAAGCACCCATCAAAATGGCTACAAACTTAAAAATTTACAGTACAAACTCCTGCTGTTGGTGGGAGCGTAATTGCTACAAGCCACTTTGCCCAGCTGTCAATCAGCAGTACCTCATAGAGCTGAATAGATGCATGCTTTGTGACCCACAAATCCCACTCCTGGGTGTGTGCCTAATGAACATACATGCATATGTACATCAAAAGGCAGGTATACTAGACCATGATACACACCTTAACAAATTTAAAAGAACAGACATCATACAAAATATGCTCAGACCACAATGGAATTAAACTAAGTAAATCAATAACAGAACTATCCCAAAATATTTGAGGATATTTTAGAATATTCCAAAATATTTGGAGATTAAACAGCACACCTCTAAATAACACATAGGTCAGAGAGGAATGCTCAAAAGAAATAAAAAAATATTTTAAATGAAATAAAATGAAAATACAACCTATCAAGATTTGTGGGATGCAGTAAAACAGTGCTTAGAGGGAAAATTATAGCACTGAATGTTAGAAAAGAAGACGGATCTAAAAATCAATAATCTAAGCTTCCACTGTAGGAAACTAGAGAAAAAGGACCAAATTAAATCAAAAGCAAACAGAAGAGAAGAAATAATAAAAATTAGAGCGGCAATCAATAAAATTGAAAGCAGGCAATTATAGAAAATCAATTAAACCAAAAGCTGGTTCTTTGAAAAAATTATTAAAATTGATAAACCCTTACCTAGGCTAATCAATAAAAAGTGAGAAGACATAAATTACTAACATCAAAAATGAAAGAGGGGGGATCACTACTGATCCCTGGACATTAAAAGAATAATAAACGTCAAGGGAATGAGACTACAAGCCACAGTTGGGGACAAAATACTTGCAAAAGAAACATGTGATAAAGGCCTATTATCCAAAATATACAAAGAACTCTTAAAACTCAACAATAAGAAAAGCAAACAACCCAATTTTAAAAAACAAGCAAAAGACCTCAACAGACACTTCACCAAAGATATAAAGATGGCAAATAAACACATGAAAAGGTGCAAATTAAAACAGCCTGAAAAAAATAATAAAACAACCCTGAGAAGCAGCCACACACCTACCAGAGGGGCCAAAACGTGGAACAAGACAACCCCAAGAGCTGATGAGGATGTGGGGTGACTCCCAGTCACTGCTGGGGAGGCTCCCAGTCACTGCTGGTGGGAACACAAATTGTACAACACTCTGGAAGGCATTTGACACTTTCTGGGGTTCTCTCACAGGGAATTGCTCCATGAATAGATGTATATTTGGCTGATTACACATGTGAGTGAAAACAGAAAGCAAGAATAACAGTTTCTTTGACACTAGATTTTTTTTATCAGAAGCTGAATGGCTACTTATTGTGGATGTTGCAAAAATCCTTAATGCACAAGGTCAGATAGGGCTGCACATTCCTAAGTGCCCCCCAACCATCACGTATGGTTCAACAAAGGGACTTAGTTAAAAACACAACCAGTTGCTCAAATTATATACATTGATTACAGAAATGGTGCTAATTTTCCATCTGCCTCTGTATCCACTCCCTTGGCAATGTGTCTCTGAAGCTCCCATTAAGAAGTGGAGTTTACTTGCCTCCCCCTGAATCCAGGCTGGCTTTGTGACTTGCTCTGGCAGAAGACTGTGGCCAGAGAGATGGGGGTGGGGGAGTCCTGAGCCTGCATCTCTCCGCCTTGTGAGGTTCCACAACTTTTATTGGAATCCTGCCAGGTAACAACAGAGCAATCTCAAGACGGATAATGAGCTAAACACCTGAACAGACACTCCTATTGCTCCAGCTAGTAGCCACTCAACTGTAAAAAAAGCCACTCTAGAAAAGTCCGCCACAAGCCAATCCACCAGCCGACGGCAGACAGGTGAGCAAGCCCGGGTCATAACAGCCTAGTCTAGTCAGGGTCACTGGAACTCCCCATCTGACCTGTAGACACATGAACAATTATACATGCTTGCTTTTTAACCAATGAGTTTCACAGAGGTGTGTTATACAACAATAGCTAACTGACACAGAAATTAATATCTGGAACTGGGCTGCTGCTGTAAAAAAAAAACAAAAAACTGAAACACATGACATTGGCCTTGTGACCAGGTAGTGAGCAAAGACTGAAAAAGCAATGATAACCACTACAGCAAACTAGAAAAAAAGATGACACATTTTATGTAGTGAAATATTTCATTAAAGTGTCACCTATGGTCATAGGATGTAAAACATAACTCATTAATTTGTGTATCTGGATAAAATAATTTCTAGGCAGAAAGCTGAAAGTGTCAGTTTGCATCTTTAAGCTCATATTAAAAGGTACTGTGAGAAAGAAGTCAGTTAAAAGGGGGGAAAAAGACCACTTTTTAGGCAGGAATTAGGGGGAATATAAAGGAGTCCAAATTTACCAGACTGGAAAATAAAACTGGTTCTCATCTCCAGTCTCCCCAACCAGCAAAAGATCCTCAAGGTGAGGCTGGATGATCTTTAGGTTAAGACCTCTAAAAGAGTTAAGATGTAACCTAGTAAATCTTTTCAGCCAGAGGAAAGAGCCAGGAGTAATAATAAAAATGTCTTTCCACAGCAAGCAGCACGATACGCCCAAAGTAGCCACAATCAAGGCTGAAGAGAGGTTTTTCGGGGGATATATATGTTTTTGTCCAATGGAGTGAATTTAGATTCCACATAGAGAGAGATCACAAAGGTTTTAAAATTGTACATGTTGAAAGTCCTCCCCACTTAAACTAGAGAGAACTAAAATTGTTCTAATTGCAAAAATGCTTCTTAGCCCCAGGCTTCTTTAAATGAATGAAGAAAGCAAATGGAGTATCACTCAGCCATAAAAAAATAATGACATCTTGCCATCTGTAACAACATGGATGGAGCTTGGGGGCATTATGCTAAGTGAAGTAAGTCGCACAGCATAAGACAGAGAGAGACAAATACCATATGATCTCAGTTACATGTGGAACCTAAAAAACAAACAACAACAACAAAAAACAATGACCCAAGATACAGAGAAGAGATTTGGGGGGAGGGAGCAAGCACAAATGGATGAAGGGGTCAAAAGGTACAAATTTCTAGTTACAGAAAAATAAATCATGGAGATATAATGTACAGCATGGGGACTATAGTTAATATTGTATTGCATATTTCAAAGTTGCTAAGAGAGTAAATCTTGAAAGTTCTCATCACAAGAAAATTATAAATAACTATCTATAGCAACTTATTGTGGCAAACCCTTTGTAATAACACAAATGTCAACTCATGCTGTATACCTGAATCTAATATAAAGTTGTACGTTCAACTTTTTGGCGTCTCTGGGCCACACATCAAATGCATTGTGACACATAACCACAGAAAAATCTCATAATGTTTTAATTTATGAATTTGTGTTGGGCCACATTCATGGCCATCCTGGGCCATGCAGTGGGTTGGACAACCCTGCTGTATGTCAGTTATGCCTCAATTAAAAATAAAAAAAGAAAGATTACTCACAGGACTCACCTGTTGGTGGTGAGCAGGGGAAGAGGTATTATCCCACATCAGACTGAAACACTACACCACTTCCCCTCCTTGAAACTATTCAGGGGACGTGGTGTAGTGCAGGTGGTGCATTTGTCCAGCTTTCTCTTTCTCCCACATTGTTTCAAACTTGGTTTTTCTAACATAGAAGGCTTGTGTGTGCATGACTTTAGGTCTCCGAACCAGCCTTGTCTGCGGCCCTGGGCTAGTGAGAACGATCACGATTTTTTATGAAGCAATGTAAACTATGCATTTAGCATACCGCTAGCCCTCACATACCCCCATTAATCAAGTGAAAAATTTTGATAAAGGTTAAGTGACATGCCCAAAGATATTTAGTAAATGGCAATTGGTTGTTGTGTTTTTAAATAATATGTTTGGCTCCAAAAACCAGTGATAAAACAATACTTTGATTAGGGTGGTTCTAATTCAGTTTTCTCCTCCATGCAGCAAAATTACATTATTTATATGATACAATGACTTATTTTAGGTGGTTTGCAAAGTAAGGGCTCATTCTTATTTTAAGATTGTGCTTTTCTTACTCTTGGAATTAAACGGCCTTTCTTTTGAAAAACGGTATGAGCTCGTAAAGAGTTTCTTTTCCCCTGCCAAAATAAAAAGCTGAAATGTTATTCCTTAAAAAAAAAATTGAAATATCATCTGATCCACGAACTGCTAAAGTCAGGACCCAAAGCCGCCCCAATCAAGAGTGCCCGCGGGGTGAGGGAGAGAGGGGTACACGCGCGAGCGAGGGTCTCTAGTTTAAACAGACGAGGTTTGAGATCCTCGTGTCAAAAGCAGGAGTAAAAACAATGCAAGCCTGACCGCGAGCACCACGGCGGCCCGCGTCTTTGCCGAGTGCAGTGTTCGGCAGACGGAAAGCCTGGTGGGCTGCTGGTCGAGGTCATAAACTGCGCGCTGGACAAGAGAGAGTCGGACGCTCTCCACTTGCGCGCCAAGGAGACAGCCGACGGCCACGCGGCGTTGCACGGAGCCCCCCTAGCTCGCGTCTGCAGTTTCTCAGTGAGCCCGGGGCGGGACCCACACTACACGACGCGAGCGAGCCGCGCGGGACTCAGGGCGAGCGCGAGTTAGACCGCCAGGCGGCGCTGCGTGCGAGTCTGAGAGATCAGAGCTCTCGCGGTAGGTGAGACTAAGCATTCCGGAAGTGATTTGTCGGAAGAGGCATGGCTGCTTCCGGGGTCTGGGTTCCCACGCTGGATTGCCGACACCATGCAGTCCGATGATGTGAGTCTTCCCCGTTGCTCTGCCACCCAGGGTTTACGCAGGTTGTCTTACCTTCTCGGCGACTCAGAGCGGCACACTCAGCCGGCTCATTTGCCTCACGTGGCTCCGGGAGCGAGGCTTTCACTGCCCCGGCTTTCGTGCGTGGGCTGTCACGTGTCTACCCTGGGCCTCCAGCCCGCTGCCCCACCGGGATTAAGGAGCCTAAAACCCACCTCGTTGGTCTAGAGGGTTGGCTTATCTAGACACTGGTGACAAACCCTGACGGACTCTGCGTGTGGTCCTGGGGGACTTAGAGCTGGGCGGGGGGCCTGGGGGAGGGGTGACGATACAGCCGAATTTAGACAACTTTAAGGATCCTTTTCATCCATGTGCACGTTACTTTCAATCAGCTGTTCCAGTGTTTAGATTTTTCTATGTATTTGTCCCACTAAGTGTCCAAGTCATGTTTTTTGGAAGCGTCCTACATTCCTGCATTAGTAACCTGTAGGGGAAACATTTAAGTGCTTACTGCATACCGGGCATACTGCGGTAGTTACTGGAGATTTGGTTGTTAATAAGCCAGACAGAAGACCTCTGCTTTCCTGAACACTGGTGGGAGAGACAGATCGTGAGGAAGTGAACAAACAGAAACAGTTGCACTGAGTAACAGTACTAGAAAAACAGACCAGAGGTGATGGAGTACGAAGTAATTAGCAGAGACCGCTTCAGAGAGGCCTGATCAGGAAAGGTTTTTCTGAATGGGAGACAATTGAGCTGAGATCTAAAGGATGAGAATGAACCGCCACCGAGGAGAGGAGGGGAAAGCCGTCCATCCAGGCAGCAGGAACAGGAAGGTACAAAGATCTGGAGGTTAGAGAGGAGGAATATATTCTAGGACACCGAGGTCCTGTGAAGTCCTGTAAGGGTTTTAGGGGTTTCCGTGGGAAATGACACGATTTCCGTGTGTGAAAAGTTCTCTAGTTGTGTGAAAGGTTTTTGAAGGAGAGTGAGTGAAAGCAAGGAGACTAGAATATAATGAAAGTAACTTCAGCTCAAGTAGTCACGGTGGCTGTGAAAGGAAATGGATAAATTTGAGATGATTTATCAGTTTTAATTGATGACTTGGTAAATAAAGGGACAGATGGAGGGTTTGGGGATTTGAACAACTAGGGCAGTGGTTGTATTCTGGAGGTGGGGGGACTGGAGAAGGAGCACGGTGCTCCTGTGAGAGCTGTGGAATCGAGAGCTCCATTTGGACATGCTGGTGTGTGTGATGCCTTTAGACAGCCACGTGGAGGTGCCCGTAGGCAGCTGGGTGTATACACAAGTCTGGTGCTCAGGTGAGAAGTGTGATCACCTGAGTGAACTAAATTGTTATTGGGTAAAATAACAATTTAGGAGTCATCAAGTAGAGGTGATATGTAAATCCAGCAGCCAGATGGAGCTCCTTTTCCAGTTTCATTTCCTCTGACCTGTTTCCTAACATCTAACATCCTCTGCCAGACACAGCCTATAAAATTGCAAAAATGTTGTTCCATTCTTTTACATTTATGCCTTCCCTTTAACTGTTTTAAGCCTTTCCCAGTTCCCCCAGGCAGTGCACTCAGAGGCTGTCATACTCGCACACACCTCGTTGTCCTTAGCTGCTTAGACAGCTGCTTTGTGATGCTCTGTGTGTCTGTCTCCCCGCCTGGACGGAGAACACTCTGAGGACTCCGCCTTCCCACACTGACAAGTGCCTTCTGTGTGTCAGTGCCTTACCTTCGTTAAGTGCGATGAAGGTGAACGAGGAAAGGACACACTAGTGCAGGATGGCGGAGATGATTTCCCTCGCCCGCAGTGAGATAAAATTACGGTGCATATGTCCAAAAGCCCAGTACTGTGCGTCTTTTTACCATGGACAGTGAACATTTTAAGTAGAAAAGGAAGGTTACAAAGTACATAATATGATCTAAGTTTGTTGAAAACATAGATGTAGGCATACTAGTTCTTGACATGTACACACATATACAAAAACCTGAAAATATTTACAAATACTAATGAAATTGTATTTCTGGGTAATGAGGTTATGGTTATTGCTAATTTGTACTTACTTTTTCTATAAGAATGTCATTTGTGTAACGAAAGGTCAGAATGTTTTACAAAGCACTCTCTCCTCCCATTTGTTAAAGACCCCTTTCCTCAGGAAAGCGGGGCACGCCTCAGAGCGTTGTTTCTGGGATTCTTGTGCCATCTCCTGGGTCTGAGCAACTGAAACGTGTTTATACTTTCTCCTGCAGGTTATCTGGGACACACTGGGAAACAGGCAATTTTGTTCCTTCAAAATAAGGTGAGTCTAGATTCACAACTTGGACAAAGATTCCTTTAGTGGCCCTTTTGGTAACCGATCTTAAAATGCTTGCCATAGCCCTGGCTGGTGTAGCTCAGTGGACTGAGCACGGGCTGCGAACAAAAGCATCACAGGTTTGATTCCCAGTCAGGGCATATGCCTGGGTTGCAGGCCACAGCCCCCAGCAACCGCACATTGATGTTTCTCTCTCTCTTTCTCCCTCCCTTCCCTCTCTAAAAATAAATAAATAAAATATTTTTAAAAAATGCTTGCCATTCCTCCCATTCTAGAACGAAGACACAGGGCTTCTGCAGAAATGAATACAGCCTGACTGGACTGTGTAACCGGTCGTCTTGTCCCCTGGCGAACAGTCAGTATGCCACGATCAAAGAAGAGAAAGGTAACTCCCCAGTTTCAGATTCCGTGGGAACTATTCAACAGCTCTCAAAGCATGCCCTTTGGTCCCTCTGAATAATATGAAGGTATTCCCTGTATCCTGCAGGACAGTGCTACTTGTACATGAAGGTTATAGAGAGAGCAGCCTTTCCTAGACGTCTCTGGGAACGGGTAAGACTTGGAACATAAAATTACAATACCCATTGATCTAGAGCAAAGCGCCAAGTTCTCTTCTTCCTCTCTCTTCCTTGACCGTATCTAGGTTACACCTTTCAAGCTGTCAAATTAGTTCCTGTGGGTGGTGTTACCAGGAAAGACCTGATCGTGTACCCTTCCCCTTCAACCTTTTTCTGTGTGATAGGTCCGTCTTCATAAAAACTATGAGAAGGCCCTGGAGCAAATTGATGAAAATCTCATTTACTGGCCTCGTTTCATTCGACACAAGTGTAAGCAGAGATTCACCAAGATCACCCAGTACCTAATTAGAATTCGAAAACTTACACTAAAGCGACAGTGAGTATTCAGGTCGTTTATTTATTTCTGAATCTATTTTCTCATGAATCGTGTTATGAAACTGAGAGATGATGAAACAAACCCCTAGTAATGCTTTCTGTAAATCCAACTTTGGGTACCCTTTTGTGATATGCTAAGAAGAGACTTTATCTCAGATTAAAGGTGGGCTCTTTGGTTTTGCAGGATTTTAAAAACAGTACAGTACAACTTGATTATTCCCTCCCTGTCTGAAAGTCAGCTTCAGAAAATATCGTTTACAACTCCCTGAGGGAATCTTAAAATTAAGGACTTAAAAATGACCTAAAAACTGTGAATAAACAGGAATGTAAGGACTTTACTCTGTGTTCAATGAAAACTAATTTTTAAAAGGAATATGAAATCCACACTTAATTGAGTTGTGACTTGCACAGGATACTAAAGATGTCAGTCTTCTACAGAAAATTCCCTTTTCTTAGTTCACTGAAGCATTGTTAGCATAGAGAATGTCCTCAGAAGTCTCAGAATGCCTAAAGCAAACAAAAGCAGCCACATTAAAATATATGTAAAAATGTCCAATTTTTTTATTGCATTACATTTATTTAGAAAATTTGCTGAACTGAGCTGAACCCTGCAAGTGAATACCAGTCCTTTTTTCCTTCTCATTTTTTTTAGCACATGTACTTGGGTTTTCTGATAATATGCTTTGTTTCCCCTAGGAAGAAGCTTGTTCCTCTGAGCAAAAAAGTGGAGCGGAGGGAAAAAAGAAGAGAGGTAACTTACTGCTCTGATAGTCATAGCATCTTTAATTTCACTGAGGGTAGGGCTCTGGAGGTGGGCCTACGAAAAAGATCGAGTCTCCATTATCCACGAACGGTTCAGGTCCTGGAGAATGGTTCACTGATGTGTGACACATTAGGTGCATAAGACAGCTGATATTCCACATTTTGAGATCGTGATTTTCAGGGCAGGTGAAGTGGGAGTGCTTTGAGGGTGTATGTAATGGGGAACGAGTAGAAAACCTTAAATAGAGATCCACAATTCCTTGTCTGAAATTCTTGATGTCAAATGTTTCAGAGGTCAGAATTTTGTTATATTGCTCATCTTATATCTTACCCTCAGCAGGGTTTGGGCATTCTAATCAAATACACTAGTAGTTTTGCAGTGAAATATAAGAATGTTCATTCACACTAGATTGAATTTTTTAAATCTTTTTAAGTAGACTCATATTAGTTCGGGTCATCTTAGGCCACGAAATTGAGGTGGGGGGTTTGTTTTGTTTTGAAAGTGTTAATAGGAATTGATTGGGATTATTTGTTTCTTTGAAGTAAACTAAGCAACTTCATGACCAGAGTAATGAGTAGTAATGTTAATGGTCTGCTATCCGTGGAACATCTAGTCCAGAAACTCCAGCCTTAGTTGCAGAGAGCAGCCTGCCTCTCCACCGCACTGGCACTTCACTCAAGCTGAATTTTCTCAAGCTTTTCAAGACCCAGGAACTAGCTTTTCCTGGCAAATGCAGACATTCATTCATTCTAGGTATTTGGTCTGCTTACCTCCCTTCTAGCAGTAGACATTTACCTGATCATTTGTGATACCGTCAAGAAAAACTTCAATGCCGTATTTTGTCATGTATAATGCGCACCCATGTTTTTGTGCATATTATACATGGGATTACTATACGCATGGTATGTACTCATTATGCCCATGTATATAATGTGCATCCTTATTTCTCCCTCAAAGATTTGGGCAAAAGAAGTATCCATTATACACAGCAAAATACGGTAATCGTGATGCGTTTGCTTCCATTAATCACAGAGTTCTATATCTCAAATCTATTTGATCACTGGTCTTCAAAGTTTTTGATCACTCACCCCATCAATAAAATTCGGAACATATGCTCCCTAGTATATCACTTACAAATGTTATGTACAGCAGGTATAAGTAGTTGTGCTGTCCACAAACAATCGTTCTATCCACAGAACATTTTTTTTTCTTTTCAAATCACTGGTAAAATATTACCTTTCTCTCATAAGAACAGATGAGTCCAGTTCTTAGCTGAGTATACCTTTGTCTTTAAGGGCTCTCGTAAACCCTTCATAGATATGTCAGCAGTACTTAGAGAAGTGCATTGTGGATTGTTTGCGTTAAGTACTTGGTCTTTATTTTTCATTCTCCACCACCAGTTGTTAAATAGGTTAAAAAGTTAAATTTTTTTGCCCTGGCTGGCGTAGCTCAGTGGATTGAGCACGGGCTGCGAACCAAAGTATTGCAGGTTCGATTCCCAGTCAGGGCACATGCCTGGATTGCAGGCCATGGCCCCCAGCAACTGCACATTGATGTTTCTCTCTCTCTCTCCCTCCCTTCCCTCTCTAAAAATAAATAAATAAAATCTTTTAAAAGTTAAACTTTTCTATTTCTGCCAAATAAGCCCTCAGGAAAAGTGTGGATTTAGAAGATAATTAAATACTCTGGAAAATTATATCTTTAAAATTTTATTATTTATTTATTTATTTATTTATTTATAGAGAGAGGGAGAGACATCAATGTATGGTTGCCTCTCATACGCCCCCTACTGGGGACCTGGCCCCAAAACCCAGGCATGTGCCCTGACTGGGAATCGAACCTACAACCCTTTGGTTTGCAGTTGGGTGTTCAGTCCTCTGAGCCACACCAGACAGGGTTGGATCTTCAAACTGTTTTAATGTGTGATTGAAATTTTTAGAGAAGACATCTTCAGCACTGTCACACATAGATGTAATCCCTTTCTTTTTAAGGTATTCCATTTGCAGACTTTTTTTTTTCTTTTCAAATCACTTGTAAAATATTCCCTTTCTGTTTTAAAAACAGATGAGTATATTTATCTATTTTTAAATTTATTTTAGTAGTTTATTTACTTTTTAAAATTCCTGCTACATTACATATTACTGACAGCCATCTTTAAGTTCTACAACTTATGAGACAGAGAAACATCGATTTGTTCTTCCACTGCTTTATGCATTTGTTGGTTGCTTCATGTATGTGCCCTGACCAGGGATTGAACCCATAACCTTGGTGGATCAGGACAGTGCTACCTGGCCAGGGCTCTACAACTATTTTTAGGGACCAAACCATTAATCAATCAGCATACCTTTAAAACTGCTCCCTATCTTACTGCAAACAATTCATCTACAAATCCACTTACCCAGTCAGAATAAAGGAGTGAGGCCACCACTTTCAAACTCTGTGCAGTATTCTCCCCTCGGAATGTCCTGTTCACTGTATTTGACATACAGCTATTTGCTTTATGGACAGAGTTCGACATGCCAATGTCAGTGCTTGTAAAAAGTAACGTGTTTCGAATATTTTTTCCCTACATCTCAGTGACTCACTCTTGAGGTGTAAGCACCCCTCTCAAGGGTCAAGTAGGACATCACAATAGTCTTAACTGATCCGCATGCCCAGTCTTCCTGCATTGTGATTTATCACACACTGTTCATCATTGTAACACAGCTTTGGTATATAATGCTTTGAAACCCTCTGTGACTGTACTGCCAAATAAATACAGTCGTAGGCTAGAAAGGTAGATTGAGGTTAATATTTGTTTGGGTTGTGGGCGGTACAGGTTGATGCCACATATTATTTCCTATGAGGGATCACTGAAGGAAGAAAGTTTTTAAAATTTGTTTCTCTTATCATGTGGGATCTAACATGGTTTTAGAAACCGTGAGTGAGGCTCTCCGTTCCCTTTTCTTGAAGTCTGCCTCAGGTTGCTAATTTTCTGAGACACTTAATGTGGACCTACCTGCTTTTCATATCTATCAAAAGCTTTGTTAGAATTTGAGTATTATTTATAAAAACTCTAGAAATTTTTGTAGTTGAAAGGTTCCCAAGATTTGAGAGGTAAAGAAGAAATATGTCTGGTTGGAGAGGCAGAAGCCCCCGTTAACGCCCTGACTGGTGTGGCTCAGTGGGTTGGGTGCCCTGTGAGCCAGAAGGTCGCAGGTTAGATTCCTGGTCAGGGCACATGCCTGGGTTGTGGGCCGCATACCCGGTTGGAGGCATGCTAGAGGCAGCCAGTCAATGTTTTTCCTTCTCTTTGTCCCTCCCTGTCCCTCTTTCTAAAAATAAATAAAATATTTTTTTTAAAGGAGCCCCATAATAACAAGTGGGAGAAGTGATTACATTGTCTTTGTGATAAAAGCTTCATAGTTTCTTCCACGGGCTGAAAAATGAGTACTAACGAAGTTAATGGGGTTTGCTCCTTCTCCCACAGGAAAAGGCATTGATAGCTGCTCAGCTGGACAATGCCATAGAGAAGGAATTGCTGGAGAGACTTAAACAAGACACGGTGAGTAGGCTAGAACTCAGGGTACAAATTTCATGTTTTAGGTGGGACTAGAAAACGTGGAAAATGGGTTTTATTTTTGAACATGCTAGAAGATGTTCACCTTGACTTTATTCCTGGCCTGATACGGATCCTGGCTTCTCCACTGAAGTTCACTGACGCAAGCACACAAATGCGTTGGTTGTCCTGGGTACTCCCTTTAGCACGAGGGCCCTTTCCCTCTCGCCACCACTCCCAGCTCCTGGTCCCAGACTGCAGCCCCAGGGCTCCGTAGAAAAGCCACGCAGTTTTGACCCTCCTGCCTGTTATCCTCTTTTCAGGTTCTTCAAAGTTAACTTTTATTCTCTTCTTAAAATAATGTCATAGAAACAACATGAATAAAATTTTTTTCCTTGTTATTTCCCCCTTTATCACGAAAATCACACTTGTTGTAAACATGGGTTTTATAGACTACTGAGTTTCCAGTGATCTGCTTCCATCCTTCATTGAATTTACCAGTTTGATGATTTTTGTTAAAATGGGCTTTTTAAAGACACTGCCAGCTCTAGCCTTGAAAACAATATAGAAATATTACTCCTCAAATTGAGTGTTCTCCTTTCACTGAGGGACGAAATAACCAGTTTGTCGGACAGTGGACTTGAGGTGTGGGATGCAAATACAGCTAAAGCCGATCCGTTCATGTTCCGCAGTACGGCGACATCTACAACTTCCCTATCCACGCCTTCGACAAGGCCCTGGAGCAGCAGGAGGCGGAGAGCGACTCTTCAGATGCGGAGGAAAAAGAAGATGATGATGATGAGGAAGTAAGCTGTGTTTGTATTTTCACTTTGTCAAGCAGTAATCTGTAGGACTACATTTATTTTAATGTAATTAAGAGACAGGACACCCTCTTCACCCCCTAACCAAAACTAATCATTGATCCCATTTTCTGTCAGGAGACTAACCCAGGTTCAGGGGTGGCTGTGGTGGTCTCCAGGGTCTCTGCACTGACAGTCTCAGCCTTACTGATGAGCACGCTAACACTTTTCCTGCGAGATGGCAAATGAAGTAGCCTCGTCAGGAACCTACAGAAATTTTCACAAGGATTTAATCTTACTATTAACCTAGGAGAGGTACTTAAGTGGTAGTATTTTTAGGAAAAGGGCACATTTAGCAAGTAGCTGTTTAGCCACACAGTATACTTCCGTAGGTACAGAGGCATACTTTTCCTAAAACTACTGTTTGATTGTTTGAAATTAATTTAGTTGAATATAGAAAGAATTGTTTGTAAATATTACATACTGATTTCAGAAATACTAAACTTGGAAATAGGTAGATTTTAGTTGCCTAGTTAAGTAGATTGTGATTGTTATTTTATGTATTTACCAAAAAATAAACTAGGTGTCTAAGTTAAATTTTCCTGATGTATTTTGAACATCACAGTTATGCTTTATTTTTAGGATGTGGGAAAAAGAGAATTTGTGGAAGATGATGAGGTGGATGAGAGTGACATAAGTGACTTTGAGGTGAGACTTATGAGTAAGAGAAAGGCTTTCCAAACACACAGGGGTGGGAACCAAACTCTCCAGTTGGTTCTAAGTTGAGATGACAACAGAATCTGGGGACTAAATCCAGCATCTTCTCTTAACTTTTCCCCTCCCTGTGTTAGGAAATGGATAAACTGGATGCCAGCAGTGATGAAGAGCAGGAGGAGTCCTCCAGTGAGGAAGAAGAAAAGGCCTTTGATGCCAAACACAAAGGCAAAACACCCCTGAAAGGCCCCTGGCGGAGGAAACGAGCGTATGTGGAAATAGAGTACGAGCAGGAGACGGAGCCGGTGGCCAAGGCCAAAGCCACGTGATCTCCACTCGGACATTTGTAACAGGACTGAGCATGGTGAACTTTCTCCTCATCACATCGCAACTCCAGCTTTTACTCCTGATGTTGTATTCAACACAATATTTGTGTTTTTGATATTTATGCCACTTCTGTGGGGCAAGAAGTGTGGGGGGGACTGGTGGAAAAGTTGTAAACAGAGTATTTTTATGGCTTTGGCATGTGTTGAAGTAACACTTTGTGTCCAAGAAGCCTAACAGATGAGTTTGTGGCTGTAAATATTTCTAAATTTTAAATGCCCACCCTTGGTTACTGTCCCCTACTTTAATTCAGACGTGTCCAGACTCCTGCCCTCGCTGGTGTGGCTCAGTGGATGAAGTGCCGCCCTGTAAACCTACAGGTCACCGGTCTGAATTCCCAGTCAGGGCGCACGCCTGGTTTGCGGGCCAGCTCCCCAGCTGGGGGTGTGCGAGAGGCACCGGACTGATGTACCTTTAACGCATCCTTGTTTCTCTCCCTCTCTCTTTCCCTTCCCCTCTCTAAAAATAAATAACATCTTTAAAAAAGAAAGAAATGTCCAGACTTCAGTTTTTCTTGTTCTTCCCATACTTCTATTGGAGTAAAAGGAAAGAAAGAAAAGGATGACGTAAATTATAATGTCTAGTATAAAAATACCTTTTTCTGTAAGTAACTGCATTTACACAAAGAGAAAACCCTCTCCTCTTCAGGGAAACAAGACAAACCCTAAGTCCCGCCGTGGGGGGCGCCTCCGGAACCCTGCTGCACTTTCCTGAGGCAGCTTGCCACCTGGCTGTCCTCACAGCTTTGGAGACTTGTGGCCAGGAGACCCTGAAACGTGAAACCAAACAGACTTTGGTTTGTTACTTCTTCCCCTCTCACCTGGGCTCCTCTTTCTGGGCACCAGGCTCGGAGGAGGAAAGGACGGGTGACACTGGGGGACAGTTCGCAGAACACGTGTAGCTGTAAACACTGTCGGCACACTTGGAAATGTCCTGCTGGCTCACAAAGCAGCAGCTGAATGCCAGCCAGAGCGAATTAGACTGGATCTAGGGCCTGACAACTGCCTGAGGTTGAGGAGCCAAGGTGAGGTTCAGTCTGAATAGACTAATAAAACTAGACTACTTCTAAATATTGTCAGGGGATGAATCTTTTATGCTGCCTACATCATTTCAAGATTCTAAATGGGATAAGAAATGAGGCAATAGTTTATTAAATATATAAATACTCACATAGCTATCACATGCTATGGCTTTGAGAAGTTAGCTTTTGTGGAATATGAAGCCAAAGAAAGAATTCCCACGTGGATAAACAAGAATGCAGAAAAGCACAGCTGCCCTGAAAAGTGGGGAGCATTTCTGGGATCTGAACTACTCTACCTATATTACTATTTCTGGGTGGCTTACAGCCCATTAATTAACCTTTTATTTTTTTTTTCCAATTCAATGACAGGAACAGAACTTAAATTTTACAAACTTTTGATCACAGTCCTTTCACCCGTTCTTTGTCTTAGCCCCAGAGATAGTTTCTAAACCTCCTGCTTTTTGGACTGAACGGTTCTAAATACCTTTGTTCCCACTCTGTTGAAGGCCAGCAGGTTCCAGAGGTGGAGACCTGCCGCCGCCACATTCACGTACAGGCTTGGACAGGCCCGTGAGGAACGAATTACAATCAACTGTGGGAATTACTCGAGGACAAGGAGGCCCGACTGAAAGCGAGCTGCAGGCTGCCCCTTACCTTCACTCGCCCCTGAGAGCAGTGGTCCAGGAGAACCAGGCAGGCCGTGGCCTCCTCCAACAAGGCACTCTTCACGGGCTCGGGTGTAAGGCTGCGGTCCCTCGCCACATCGCACACCAGTTTCAAGAGAGCCTTCAGCAAGACCACGAGTCTACAGGGAACCCTGGAATCCAGAGGAAAAACCATGTTCATACTCTACACCTGGGTGTTAGACTGGAGACTTCAAAGACCATCTAGGATATAAAGCCCTCACTTCTAAGTGAAGGAACTGAAGTCAAATGTGTTAGACCACAGAGCTGGAAGCACAACTAGAGACCAGACTCCAGATGTCTGAACTTCAAGGCCAATTATTTTTCTCCAGCATACTGCCCCTGTACACACACACACACTGGCCGGCCCACAGAAAACGAGTTTCCCTCCAGAAGCCTGGCTCCACTCTGGAAGGAAGGAGCCCCTACTGAACAGGGCGGCCTGGGATTCCCCCTGTACCTGTGGCCAGAGCACAGGAGCCGGCCCATAGTCCTTCAACTTTGAAGCAGTCTCAGACCAGGAGTCCAAAACAAGATGAGGGACATGTGCTTGGCTTCTGGGACTTCAGTGTCAATTTGCATTTTCTGTCACTTAACTCCAGATCCCAGCTTACCAACAGTTCAGCCCAATCTATTACTAGCCCTTCTAAAAGATTCTCGACACAAGAAAAGAAGTTCTGAAAATGGACAGTGGTGATGGTTGCACAAAATCTGGAATGTACTTAATGCCACTGACCTGTTTATTTTAAAATAGTAAATTTTTTTTATCACAATAAAAACTAAAGCCATGGAAGCTGGAAGTACTATAGTAATAGAAGCTGGAAAGTAATTTTAACTTGTAGTGTGAAAATATGCAAAGTAAACCATATTTCTGGACAGAAATATAACTGGGGAAAGTTTGCATCTGCTACCTTGACCTGAAAAACATTAAGTGCTTTCCTACACCCTACTGCTTAGCCTCCCACATGTCACCAGTCAGTATTCAGCCCGCTGTCCCGCAAGCCCCACCCTCCACAGCAAGTCACAGTCGGTTTCTACCCTTCTGACCCCGACGTCTGCTTGCTGGTCTCTTCCTGGAATCTTGGTCTCTGCTCTTTAAAAGCCTGGCATATTAATTTGATTCAGCTTCATTTATCCATCTATTCATTCTATTTTAAGTGTATTCTTCAGAGTTGGAATGCTTTCTAAGCTATCATATCCTGAATTAGCATTCTCCTAATCACTGTTCAGGCACATGGTATGAAGAGTTTTGGTCTCAACTGGATTTAGAAAACATTAGGAGGAACAAAGTTAAGCATGTCTTTATTATATACAGCACTTCTAAATGGCCTTTTAAACTTTAATGTGCACTATTAATCTAAAGAGATAGACACCTGAAACAACAATGGGTGTCTTTTATCTTTCAAAGGCTATTTTCTCAGTGCAAACTTCAACAGGTGTGTAAAACTGGGAGCACTCAAATACATGGCATGGCCTTAATACTGCATGCAGCATGTACACCTGCACAGGTTCTGAAGGGAAAGTCTGGGTTCCACCCTGCTTACCACACTTCCCTGCGGGCTGTTATACCTCGGCCAAATGCACTGCATGAGAAGTTTCAGGGTTTCCAGTATCTTCAGTCTCGCCTCCTCCTCTGGTCCGTCATAAACCTCCAGATAACCGAGGATGACTCGCTCCAGCCTCCTCATGTGCCGCACACTTAGGATCCCCAACCTACGAACGGAAGAGCAACGTGACACCAAAGAGCTGAAGCCGGAGTCGGCAGGCCAGCAGCCCAGGCACTCGCCTCTGCACAAAAGCTGGCAGGTTTCTCGCGTAGGTCCTGCGTAAGAGGATGCGGTGCTCCGGCTCCATGTGGGTCAGGATCAGCTGCAGCACCTCGTCACAGTGTGTGGTGGGGCGAGCGGCACCTCCCTTCCAGTGCAGGGCTTTCTCCAGGACCGGAAATAAGTCCAGCAGACACAGCAGCACGGCCTGGAGAGCAAATGGACAGAACTGGTCATCCGACTGCACTCGCCATGTGCACTGAGGTTTCTGAGCAACTTCATGCCTCTATTCTTGGGGTCCATGTCACGGAATTCTACAACACACTAGTAAGTGAGTGCGTATTACTTTGTTTTTCCTAACTTTTTTTTTTCTTTTTACATTATCTCCATCTGAAAGTCTCAAATAAGTTAATACCTTCTCCTCACTGTGCTGTGCTAAGCTGTAAAATGGGAAGAAAGGCAGAGCTGGGATTCGAACCCAAATTTTAGGAGCTGGAGTCTGCTGTAAATCCAAGCAACACGTACGTGTACTTACAGTAGAACTGCTCCTAGAGAGATTCTAAGGAGAACCTGTGTCCAGCTGCACCACCCTACCTGAACTGTCAGTGTGTCCCAGCGATCCCTCCTAGCTCTCCTGGGCTCTTTGGTTTCCTCAGTTTTTGGGGCAGGGTTTATTTTAATTCTTAAACACCATCTGAAGAGTCCTAACCCTTCTGACTGTTAGCACCTGGATTCTCAATGCCTAAAATAATACTTTAAAAAAGGTAGCAAGGTGAAGGGTTAAGGGTGGGTAGGCATAAAATAAGAACCCTGGTTATTTCTACATCTAACTTTATATACCTTGTTCCTTCTGTCTTGAGAATACTGTTCCCCCTCCTAACAAACTCCTACTTATCCTTTGTAAGTAAATACCGCCTACTCTGGATTCCCCCTAAAACCACCCAAGACCACCAAACCTGGTTAGTTGCCTGCTGCTGGACACCCACTGCACTGTACAGAAACCTCTTTTAATAAATGTATCACTCTGTACTGTGGACCTATGTATACCTATATATTTACATAAATACCTCCCAAAGGGTTTCTTAAAGCCAGAAACCTCGTCTGATTCACTCGCTCTTGGAACCGACAGTGGTTACTGGCACACAGCAGGTACTCAGTGTCTACTGGATAAAAGAATAAATGACACTAACAAACCCAACCCACGAGGCCTTAATGTGTGTTGATGATGAAGCAACACAGAAGGAGGGGCACTTAAATTAATAAAAGTAGAACTTTTTCCCGACATAAATCTGTCCCCAGGCAACACGTAACTGACCCAGACGAAGACAAGCACCAGCCCTCCATGGCCCCTGAGAACGCAGGTGCTCGCCTGGCGCCGAGGCGTTTTCCCTGGTCACCGCTGCCCCCATTTTCGGCTGGGCAGTGGCTCTCAGTCACCACCCTCACCTACCAAGAGGAGACAGTGTCTCAGCTATCCTTATTCCCGTGACGCCACCCTCCACTCAGATCTGAAGACGGAGGCTCACAGTCACCCGCAAACCTCGCGGTTACCTGAACGAGGCGGTGCTCCGGCGTGTACAGGTGGCTGACAAGGGCGTGGTACAGGACCTGGGCCCTGTTGTACTGCAGCAAATCGGCAGCGGGCTGCAACCGGACAAATCACCCAACGAAAAGGAAAGTCAGCCAACGTTGGCAAAATGTTGGTAATTTTAAAAACTGAATTATGGGTGTATGAGATCCATTATACCCCTCTCTACTTCTCTGTGTATTTTTAAAGTTCCATGAAACATAGTTAAGAAAGAAACAAGCAAACTTCCTCGAGTAATAGATTGCACATTTTGGTGTAATTCCTCTCAGTTTGATTTTTTTGCTCCTTGGAAGTCAACTGCTAATTACTCAAAGTCTGGCTATTCAGTTTGACAATGGCCTATGTTTTGTGTATAGAATAATGGTCCATGTTTTATATATACATATATATATATATATATATATATATATATATCCTATCAGATATAACTTC